AATTTAATATAATTTATAATTAATTTAAATTTATATTTTGATTTTAAATCTTTAAGCAGAGAATCTTTCTTAAAAATAAATGTCAATTTTTTATCATATATATGATAAATGAAAAAAATGTTATCTATTTTATTTGCATTTTTATTGCAAACAAATTCCTATAAGATCTTGAAAATAACAATATAAAAAATGAACAACACAGCAGTAAACGCATAGGACACATTGCATTTGATTCGCTGAGTTTGTTAAGATTTTATTCGTCTTATAATCCGATTCGTTCTATGTATTTTTTAAGATTGAAAAGCGTGTAGAGATCATATTCGATAGATTATATTTTTTAGTAGTTAGGAAATTAATGTAGCTGAATCTTCATATTCTTTTCCTCTTGTGCTGTCTTCGAAAATATTTAAAAATAATTTTTTAAATATATGTACACTGAAAGTAAAGATTGATTGCTGCAATTTAGATAATAAAATATGGTATAGCATTTTTAATCGGCTGCAGCAACCAGTTTATGGTTGTAGCAGCAAATTTTTAGTTGCGTTAGCCTATCAGTATACGATTTCGATAGGCAACTAAAAATTTGCTGCTACAACCAAAAATTGGTTGCTGCAGCCGATTAAAAATGCTATGCCATATTTTATTATCTAAATTGTTGCAGCAACCAATCTTTTTTTTCATGTATGTAATAATCTTTTAAAATACATTTATTCTTTTAAAATACATTCCATACATTTCTATATTAATTGTTATTAATCTTAATCTAAATAAAAAAATATGAAGATTTCGACTATATTTCGTTTGCACACTAGTAACAGTGCTCAATTTAATAGAATGTTATTTGCAGGATGGTAGACGTCGGTGGACAGAGGTCGGAAAGAAGAAAGTGGATCCATTGTTTCGAAAACGTCACTTCAATTATATTTTTAGTAGCTCTAAGTGAATATGATCAAATTCTATTTGAATCGGAAAACGAGGTAATTATAATATTTTTTATAAAATATATAAAAATTATCAATAAATTGATAAATTTGAATGATATTACAACTCATTTGTATGTATGATTCTTTTTACCTTTTAGAATCGAATGGAAGAAAGTAAAGCATTGTTCAAAACGATTATAACATATCCCTGGTTTCAACACTCCTCTGTTATCCTGTTTCTCAACAAGAAAGATCTGTTAGAAGAAAAGATTATGTATTCTCATCTTGTCGATTATTTTCCGGAATATGATGGTAAGTTGTAATATCTTTTTTTTTATAAATATCCACGGATTATCATTAATCATAAAATGCTAACTACTTTGTTGTAATTTAGTCAACATCTTAGACAACATCTTATCTCATATTTGGAAGTAGAAATAAACTCTGAACGCAAGATGTTTATTAAAAAATAAAGATATATTTAAAACTATATTGTTTTAATACTCTCAAAGAAATTAAAACAACGTATTAATCGATATTTATTAAATTATTAATTTATCTCAAGACACACAGGCTGAATAAAATGTGATAAAATTATTTATCTCGATATTCATAAATAAATAAGTTCTATGGTATAGGCCCGAAACAACAAGATGTACCAGCCAGGGAGTTCATCTTAAAGGTGTATCTAAATTGTAATCCCGATCCTGACCGAATGTGCTACTCTCACTTTACGTGTGCCACAGGTCTGTCCGAGTACTGAGTGTATCCTGAACAGAAAACGTAGATTCCTTAGTTACTTGTCGAACGATTTAATAATATGATATTTCTTGCGGTTTTCATGCTCTTTTTTTGTAACTTTGCCACTCCGGTGTTTCTGAATTCGCGTTTGTTATTATATAGTGGTAATCTATTTGCAAGGCTATTTTAATCATACCAAACCTATATCCATACTTCTGCGCATAATTTATGATAATCAGTAGTACGTATTTTTGATACAAAATTAACTTGTATGTAGATTGAAGCTAGTTAATCTAATAGCAATAGTCAGAACTCTCGTCACATCCTGTGTTGTAATTTATAATTTTGTTATGTCATTAATTATTGAACGTTTAATGCAAATTACGTTAGCATACTGAAATTTTAAATATTTATTCAGCAAAAGTTACATTAAACTGAAATTTTTCGACAATAATAAATGATTTATGAAATTTTATTCGCGATAAAGGACTTTTGAATTTTATTACAAACTACAACGTGTAAGCAACTGTTTCGAATTTGCAAAATTATACTCAATGTTCTTACATAAGCTCTCTAGCTTGTTAATGAGGCTTTCGAAAGGCTTCTTTGATGTTCACTACGATTAATTTAATAAGCTGTCCTTGGAGAGTGTATATTGGATTTGAGTGAAGTACAACATTATTACATTAAATTAGATCGATATCCGTCTGCGTTTCGCGTTATATTGTGCGTATAAGTAAAATCGATGTGCATATAAGTAAAAGCGATGATATTTTCTGGATGTAGATTCATTCCTGTCTTGTAAAACACTTAGAAATCTCGTAACACGGAAGATTTGGTCAAATTCTAGCTTACATTATGTTGTATTTATACCTGGAAAAAATCTCAACGATACATATCAATAATCCTCTCGTCGTTAAACGATCGCTAAAAAAAATATTACTACGCAGTACATAATCGCATTGTAGATAAACAGAAGTAATGCCATGCCCCTCCCTCGCTTGTGTACTTCGCAGGTCGACAGAGAGACGCTCTCGCAGCTAGAGAATTCATTCTAAGGATGTTCGTTGACTTAAATCCGGACAGCGAGAAGATTATTTATTCCCACTTTACGTGTGCCACAGGTAGGCTAGTTTCTTGATAATTCCCGTGTACAAAAATACCATATTTCTTTCGCTTTATAACAGTTCTTCGATGTGTTGTGCCTTGTACAGAGCTTGTATGTTGCCTGCCTTCCGTATAATCAGGTGTGTAATCAAATGTTATAAATGTATCACGGAAAATCAACCTGCATGTATGAAAGGCATCTTTTTTCAAAGAGAGCGAAAGAATAGCACAAATAATGTATTAGTCTTTAACGTAACAATTCTAATCTTTCAAATTTACTTGGTTTAATTTACACTTAACATAAATATTATTTATATAGTATATATAATTTTATAGGTACGAGTATTGTATATTTGTATATTTCTCAGTTTCTGATTTACTGAATTATTACGAAATATTAGAAGAAAATAATAAAATAATGTGAATATCGCTAAATACGGTGTCGGGTTGATTTTTCAAAGGTATAACGGTGCTGACTAATTTCAATGATGCCTGATTTATATTTTGCATGCTGCGTTCATGGAATTAACCATCAGATACGGAAAACATCAAGCTTGTATTCTGCGCTGTTAAGGATACGATCATGCAAACCGCGCTTAAGGAGTTTAATCTTGCTTAACGCAACTGTATAGATATTATTAATTAGCAGATTCTTGACGATATTATTTAAAATATTTAGAATATTTAGAACGCTGAGAATGACGTAGAACGTATTGTATATACAATAGATTTATAACAAAACTTAGTATTTCCAACCAACGAATATTATAGAAGTGGTCAAATAGTAAAGCGATTGCTTAACAGATGTTATTACATATTTGTCAAATATGTTGCTTTTTAACATTTATTCCGGAACTTAAATCTGTGTCATTCTAGGCGATTAGCGAATCGACTGCGAATAATTTTATTTTTGAAAATTTCGAAAATAACTGCCAGCTTTACCGTTTGACAACGGTAAAGTTGACAATAATATATGTTAAATAAAAAATATATTATTAAAGCTCTGTAACCCCTAAATAAAAGAAATATAACAATTGAAGTTTACTAATAATTGTTAAAATTAATCTATTTTTTTGCAACATAGTGCATTGCTGATATACCTTTTTAATAAAGGTTTCTTTTAATATTTTTATTTTGTCTGTTACATTGTAACTCATAGAGCCTAACAAGAATAGAAATTTCATTATTTATTTATGATTAAAATTATATTTGTTTACAAATGCTTATATGAA